GACTGAGAAATGTCCTTCCCTGCCTTATTGGATGCTTACATGCGGGCTTTGGTTTTGTCGCCCAACAAAGAGCAAGACTGTGAGGAGGGACCATGTGCTAAGGGACTGGGGAAACCAGGCCCCTCTCTTTTGCTTGTTTGACTCAGCAAACAGTTACTGCACTGTGGGACACAGGGGGGAGAGCTGAAGACAAGGTCCACGGCTCCGGCCTCCGGGAGCTTGTGCAGTAGTGACAGGAAGAGCCACAGAGGCCAAACCAGAAAAAGCACACGTCAGCAAAGTATCGGTTAATTCGAGCTGGGGAAGGAGGAGAGGGACCTAAGGGAAGAGGCCTGACTGTGGCAGGTGGCCAGGGAAGACCTCTTCTCTCAGAGGTGATATGGAACCTGGAAATTGAGAGTCGGACCCTGCAGTGGGCACTGTTCTGGGCAGCGTGGTATCAAGGCCTGGGCAGGAGGGAGTATATGGTATGTTCTAGGAGTTTCTGGGGGGCTTCAGTCTCTCGGCAGGGCTGGGAGGACAGAGATCTGAGGGGCAGGCAGAGGTCAGGCCATGGCTGGAGAGGAGTTGCTGCCAGGCTAAGGCAGAGAAGCCATGGTCTGACATCCCTTTCTGAGCACTCCCTGGCTTGCTGCACCTGCAGGCAGCGACAGCGGGTAGTCAGAGATGCTGAGTCATCCAGGTGGGGGTGACTCAGGGCCAGGACCAGAGCTGGCTCAGGGGGAGGGGCGGCCCTGTTGTGAGCCCTGAGATCTGTGTCTGCTGATCTGTTTAATGACAGCCTTGCACTCCCAGAGTGGGAAGGTGGAAACTCCCCAAATGCCCATCAGCAAATATATAAACAAGTGTGACATACTCTCTGGAAACCTACACGGCCAGCAAAACAAACCATCTAGCATAACGGGTCTCCACACGCTCAAGGCTTGACATATACCATTAAGCTAAAAGAGGGGTTGCTGAGAAGACAGCTGATGACATTTATTAAAAATGGCAACACATGCAGAAACCACAGAGCTACCATTCTGGGATACAGATGTAGGTGGTAAAGTAAGCAGGGCGACAGGGGCTTATTTCTTAAACTGGGGGCGGGACAGAGGCTTGCTCTAGTATCTAGCCTTTTTTGAATGAGGGACTAACTCTTTAAAATCTCAAAACCACCCCACTGCTCCCTGCCTTTGCTCTGGCAGCCCCCCCACCCCGTCCCTGCCTGCAATGCCCTCCTGCCCACCCTCAGAGCCTTCTCCATTAACTGTGTTTCAGGCTCTGCTCACACCTGTCTCCTCAGAGAAGTGGCCCTTGATGAGGCCAGCAGAAAACCTCTTTTCTCTGCTCCATTTGGGGCATGCACCCTCCCCAACCCCCTGGGTCCTTGAGGCAGAGGCCATGCCTATGGCTTCCACCCAGGCGCCCTGGTCAGTGCCCTGCCCAGGGTGGGCAGACTCCCACCTGCGCCTCCTGTGGCTCCTCAGGGATCCTGGCAATCCTGCCGGAGCTCCCAGCTCAGCCCTTGGCATCAAGAACGTCTGGCTGGTGAGTAGGCAAGGCCAGGAGAGGGCCTGGCCTGTGGATGGTGCCGTGACAGAGGCCAAAATGTAGATTCCAAGGGACACCAGGCTGCTGGATCCTGGGAAGCCCAGGGGGGCGTCTTGCCCAATTAAGTCCTCTCCACCCATCTCCCCCTCCTCCCACCTGCTTCCCATGTCCCTCCCTCTCCCTGCTGCCTCCACAGACCTGGGTGAGCAGGGTGCTCTGCCAAGCAGGTCACCCAGACCCAAGGGCAGGGGTGGGGTTTCTGTCACTTGGGCACAAAATCCCAACTTCCTCTGCCATGTGGTCTGCAGCCAGGGCCTCCAGGCCAGGAAGGAGAAGGAGGAAGCTGGAGTCTGCAGCTGGGCCCCCCCAGCCCCTGTTCTGCCCAGCTCAGGTCACAGGTCCCCTCTGGAGCTCATGCCTCACCTTCAATAACAATCAGCAGGTTTTTTGCCTCCGCCTGTGGGCACACCCTGAGTCGCGTGCTTCCCACCCCTGACCTCAGGCAGGTCACCCTCAAAACAGGACTGAGGCAGGTACTGTGGTCCTCCCATTTTACAGATGAGGAAATGGAGCCCAGAGAGGGGAAAGGGGCTCGCTTGATACCATAATGACTGCAGGCAGAGGTTCATTCCTGGCATCTTGATTGGGAGTCCACTCGGGCACTCAATTCCTCCCCAAACCCCAAATGAGGGGGTAGGATGAGAAGAGTGGTTCTGAACTATTTCGGGGCCACTCCAATTCCTCTGAGGGCCTTTTCTGAGAAAATGATATGTCAGGGTGGTTACAGTGACCTGGACACACAGGGCAGAATTTGGCCTCTGGGACCTCCAGAGCTTGGACAGCTCTGAATCCTTTCTCTGGGCTAACTTGTTACCCAGGCAGCGTTCTGCACACAACTGCAGAGGAACAGGGACCCAGGGGTCTCAGGATAAGACCCTGACCCAGGACTCATGAAGGGCCCTTCTGAATCCAGGCTCTGGGATTCCTGATCCTGGACGGCTGGCGGGGCTGATGGTTCTGTGGGTCCCACTGAGAGCCAGATAGAGGAGAGAATTTAGGAAAAAAGGAACAAAGCCCAGTGGAGAAAATGTGGTAGTGGAGGAGTCCCTGAGAAGAAGCTATGTATGGCCTGTGGCCCACCCCACCCGACCTGGCTGCAATGCCGCTTTTATTCTACAGTGTTGGGGATTGGTCCCGGGGTCCTGTGCAAGAGCTCTGCCACTGAGCCCCATCCTAGACCCTGGCCCCTGATTTCTTTTTTTTCTCATACTTGATTTCTTTCTTTCTTTTTTCCCCCCTTGTACCAGGGATTGACTCCAAGTGTGCTTAACCACTGAGCCACATCCCCAGCCCTATTTTGTATTTTATTTAGGGTCTCACTGAGTTGCTTAGCACCTCGCTTTTGCTAAAGCTGCTTTGAACTAGCAATCCTCCTACCTCAGCCTTCCAAATTGCTGGGGTTACAGGGGTGCCCCACCAAGCTCAGCTGGCCTCTGGTTTCTTGAGTCATTACCAGGTACATAGCTTTGTTCTTCTATTGCTGGATGCAAGAGGCAAGACTCACTCACTCCCCAGCCTCAGCTTCCCTTTTTGTTAATCTGAGTGTCCCCCTAAAGTGCACATAACTCACAAGGTGACACTGACAACCCTGGGAACCAGAGGTGAGTTCACACTCTGCCACGGTTTCCCAAGTAGCGTCAGCAAGCTGGGATCCAGGACAGAGCTTCTCAAAGGAAGGCCCTGGCCAACTGCTCCTGAATGATCTGGGGTGCAGGCTAAACAGGAAGGTTGTCTGAGCTGCACAGTGGTGAACACCTACAATCCCAGCGACTCAAGAGGCTGATGCAGGAGGCAGCCTGGGCAACTTAGCAAGACCCTGTATCCAAATGCAATAAAGGGCTAGCGACATAGCTCTGAAGGAGAGCGTTTCTGAGCTCAATCCCCAGTTCTGGGGCGGGGGAGAGAGAGAAAGAGAAAGAGAGAGAGAGAGAGAGAGAGAGAGAGAGAGAGAGAGAGAGAGAGAGAGAGACTCTGATTTTTCTCTATTTCTCTTGTCCCTCCTCCTTTCTTGAATTCTGATTCAGCAGTTCTGCCCGGAACTACCCACCATCACCTCTCCTAAAACAAAAGTTTCCTAATTGGTCCCCTGGGACCCAGGTGGGAGACAAAAAAAATCACCCCTCAGAGAGGGCAGGGCTGAAGCAGGGAGCAGTGGCCCTGGGTGAACTGCAGCTGCCCAGCGGCCTCCCTGCAGAGCACCAGCCCTGCAGTGTCGGGTCACAGACACCTCCTGACCTCACTGAGCCAAAGCATGGCCTCTGGTGTCTGAGGCTGAGCCTCCAGCCTAGGGGACGCTGTGTGGAACAGCTGGGGACCGTGAGTCAGAGCCCTCCTACCCCTCCCTCTGGTACACAGAAAACACACAATGGAACTCTTCTTCTTCCTCCTCCTCCCTCAGGCCCTTGTGCCATCTGGGCATCAGCCTCAGATGGCAAAGGCCAGGAGGGGATGAGCATAAAGGGGTCTGTACCCAACAGAATGACCTGAAAAGTCCCTACTGCCAGGGTCCCCTCCCCCCCTCCTTGGTACTTTTTTTTTGTAAGGAGTTTGAACCCTGGGGCACTCAACCACTGAGCCACATTTCCCAGCCCTTTGTTTTTTGTATTTTATTTTGAGACAGGGTCTCACCGAGTTGCTTAGGGCCTCACTAAATTGCTGAGGCTGGCTTTAAACTCACTATCCTCCTGCTTCAGCCTCCTGAGCCGCTGGGATTACAGACATGTGCCGCCAAACCCAGCCCCTCCAGTACTTTCTAAGTGGCTCCTGGCCTTAGTGGGTCCCTGATTCCACTGTGACCCAACAACTAAGCCCAGGCTGGTGAGGCCTCGGGTCAAGGGTGCTTCTGGCCAGGACCCAGCTTGCCCAAGTTTGCATGTGACCAGGGACAGGGCTTTCTTTTCTTCCTTCCTTCTTTCCTTTCTCTACTTCCTTCCTTGGGATTGAACCCAGGGGAGATCTACCATTGAGCTACATCCACACTCCCTTTTGGGTTTTATTCTAGACAGAGTCTCATTAAATTGCTGAGGCCTCTCTTAAGTTGCGGAGGCTGGGTCTGAACTTCTGATCCTCTTGCCTTAGCCTCCTGAGTCACTGGGATTACAGGCATGTGCTGTCATGCCTAGCTTGCAACAGGACACTCTTAATGACACTGAACTTGGAATGGCAGGCCAGGATTGCAGCTCAATAGTAGAGCATTTGTCTAGCACATGTGAGGCACTGGGTTTGATCCTCAGCACCATATTAAAAAAAAAGGTATTAAAAATTATATTTTAAAAAAACTTGAAATGGCCATCTGAGTGCTGAGGGACCTGGAGGGCTACCAGGACACAGGGTTCTGTTGGAGTCAGGGCCTGTTCAGAGGTCTCTTTGCAGTAGACAGCAGCTCCCTGTTTTGTGCTTTTTCAAAACTCAGGAACAAGAACCTGAGCCGGCTAAGGGCGCCTAGCAGGTGAGGTTCTCCTGAAGCTGTCAGATTGCCTGGGTGGGGGTGTCACTTCTCTGCCCAGAGAGGACCATGCATACGGGGTCAAAGCACAAGACTGCATTTCCTGCCATCTTCCTTAGACTTCGCAGCCCTCTCCAGAGGACAGACATCTTTCACGAAGGGGAAGGAGTGGCGCTCGGGGCTGTTGGACCTGACAGGAGGCACAGTAGGAGGCACAGTAAGAGCTGGAGGACCCTCCACTGAGCCTCGTGCTGGGTGGGCAGCCTGGGCCAGTCTCCTTGCCTGTACTCCTAGGCCACTTGCCCAGCGGGCTCTGGGTTTTGTTTGTTTTGGCATGGGGTGGGTTTACTTTGGCCTTCCCCTTCTCTTCCTCATCCTGACCCTAGGCTCTCTTGATTCAACCATTCCCTGAGCCAGGCCTGTGGGAACCAGAGTCAACCCCAGAACGGGCAAGAAGGTGCACTGAATCTGTAAGAGGAAAGAGGGTGGCAGGGTCCAGTATGGAGGCAGAGATGAATTTGGGCTGAGGAGGCTGGGCTGGCTTCCTGGAGGAGATGGCACCTGGGCCAAGCCAGTTTGAAAATTCAGAAACATCTAGCAAGGGCCAACATGAGCCAGGCATTGCTCTGAAGGCTGGACATGGTAGTGAAGAAAGTTTCTTCCCTTGTGTGGCCATATTCTGGTTGGAGGAGAAAAACAATAAACAAATAGACAAGTCAATGTATAGCATGTCAAGTGGGGACAGGTCCTGTGGAGACTGAAGCAGGGCAGAGAGATTGGAGTGTGCAGAGGCGGGACATTGCTGTTTACATGTCGGGTAAAAAGGGGCAGAGAATATTGAAGTCATTCTTTTTTTTTTTTTTTGTACTGGGGATTGAACCCAGGGGTGCCACATCTCCAACTCTTTTTATTTTTATTTTTTTCTATTTTGAGATAGGTTCTCACTAAATTGCTTGGAGCCTCACTAAGTGGCTGAAGCTGGTCTCAAACTTGAGATCCTCCCACCTCAGCCTCCCAAACTGCTGTGTTTACAGGTGCACACCACTGCACCTGGCTGTCATTCTTTGAATGGACTCGTTCTTTGTAAGAGAGATGGAAGGCTGAAGGGTCTGAGCAGAGGAACAGCATGCTTTAACTTAAATCAGAAGAGTTTCATTCTAGTCGCCACACTGAGGACACTGAGGGGCTGGAGGGCAGAGACAGCAATGGGAGGCCAGGTGGGAGGAGAAGCAGGGTGGGGAGAAGTTCAGATTTTGATGCATTGTGAAGACAAACCTTGAGGATGCAATAAAACTAGACCAAAGAGACACAGGGGAGGACAGACATACTAACAGGTCAGACAGGAGTACAGGAAGAGTCCTGGGGAAGGGGACTTGGGCAGGTCTGGGGTTGGGTGCTGAGGGCTACAAAGACCTGGGTGGAGGTTAGCAGCTGTGCTCTGTGGTTTGGGAAGGGGACACCTGTTGGGCAGTAGGGGAGGGTGTGCGATAGGGAGAAAAGGGAAGCCAAGGGGCTGCCATGGTCTAGGTGGCAGGTGACTTTTCCAGGTCCCAAAGGCCTGAAGAAAGGAAAAGAACCCTCTCCCCCTCCCCCTTCCTGACAGGCTGTTGCAGACGGCCCAGCACCTTGCCTTCAGCTGGCTTTTATTCAGGCCATGAGCAGAGCAGGGTAGATGGTCCTTCACTCCCGTCAGGACTCCTGCCACCGCAGCATCAAGACAATGGGCCCCACTGGCCATGATAAAGGGCTTCCTCTTACAGAAGTGGTGCAAGTAAGGTTCACCCTGGGGACGGTTGGTTTTTTTCAGGTGTGTGTGGGGTGGCCAAGAAGGATTCCTGATGCACAGGAATGAGGGGGCGAGGGGCTTGGCCAGCTAGGGTTGTCCACTCCCAAAGGCTGCCGCTATCTACCTTCAACTCTCAGGCCACTGCATGAGCCTCGCCTCTGCCCCACTGACCTCCCTCAGCCGACAGAGGCTCTCCTCAGGGCCTTGACTGCAAAATCCTCTCAGCTATCCCCGAGAAGGCAAAGGGGCAACAGGGAAACTGTGGCATGAAGCAGGGGCACACATGCAAGAGTCCCCTCCTCCCAATTCCAGCTCCTGGGGTGCCCCTCCCCTGCACCAGTTTGGATATCTGTTTACATTTGTTCACGTGCACCTTTCCCCCACCTGGGGGCTCTGAGGCCACATTCTGCTCCTGTCTGTGATCCTAGTCTCTGCCCAGGGCAGTGAGGTGTTAACGAATGGAGGGATGTGGCCCTTCCCGGTGGGTGGTAGGTAGACAGCGGTGGAAGACACTAGTGAAGGGATATAAGGAAGCTCCAGAAGGAGCTGGTCACGCCAGGTACCCTCCCTCCTGCCCATCCCAGGCTACAGCAATTACCCACATTTCCTGAGGACCTACTCTGAGCCAGGCCCTGGGCACCTACACGTGAAATTCCATTTCATCTTCAGAGAAGCCCTATGAGGCAGGCACTCTCGCCATCCCCATTTTACAGATGCAAACGGCACAGAAAGGTTGTCTGTCCAAGGTCACATGGCCACTGCACAACAAAACTAGGATTCAAGAGCTGATTTGTCTGGTGACATGCTGTGTGCTTAGCTACTGTATACCCTCCCAGCCCCCACAGAGCCCCAAATGCATGTGTCTATCCTCAGTTTTGCCTACCTCAACTGTGCCCAGTTATTCCCATTCCAAAAGACCAGTGATTGTGTTTGAGGAAAGCCTTTTATAAAGTTGACAAATGCCACTTCTGTATCATTATTAATGATACAAACAGCCTCTTTCCTGGCCATTGTTTAGGATTTCCCAGGGTCTACTTTCCAGCACCCCACCCAATCCTCCATTTGTGGTCCTCCCAGCCAGGTGCCCATGTGCTTTCCCCTCCCTCCCCATCCTTCCTGTGGGCCTGGGCGCCCACAGCACCAACTACTAGGCCTACACATTCTAGCCTACACGTTCTCGGTGGGTTTCCTGCTAGGCTCACCTCTCCAGCAGCCATTGGTCTGCCTCCCAGGGGACTGGACCAATTGTTTCTCAGACTCAGAGCATAGGATCTGGAATTCTGATTCCAGGCACACCCTTCTGCTCTGCCAATTTGGGAAGTTAATTCCAGGCAATCTTAAAATCCAGACATAGGAAAGCCCATAGAAATAATGAATTCTGAAGAAGATCTCTGAGAACTTGAAGTTCAGGAATTTGGAAATTTCTGGATCTCAAGTTCTAGGCATACCCAAAACCTCACAATTCTGATAGAATGATTTTGGACATTCTGATCTCAGCAATTTTAATTCCAGTTCCTCATGGACATTCCTATTTTCCATTTCCTTGGGCCATTTGTATGATAAACTTTTTTTTTTTTTTTTGTACTGGGGATTGAACCCAGGGCTTTCTACACTGAGTTATATCCCCAACCCTTTTCATTTTTAAATTTGAGACAGGGCCTTGTTAAGTTGCTGAGACTGGCCTTGAACTTGTGATTCTCCTACCTCAGCCTGCTGAGTTGTTGGGATCATAGGTGAGCACCACTGAACTCAACCAATTATTTACCAAGTTTGGAAGCTGGAAATAGATTTCAAACTCTCTTCTCAAAGACAGCTGTCAAATTCCCAGAAATTTTGTAAAATAAATTAAAAAAAAAATTTGTTCCAAAGGGTGTAGCTCAGTGGTAGAGGACATGCTTAACATACATGAGGCCCTGGGCTCAATCCCCAGCACCAAAACAAAGACAAAAACAAAAACACCCCTCATAAACATTAAGATATTAATATATTCAAAATGTCATTATTTTAATGCTATCTGCAATGGGAAATAGCATTAAAATAATGAGCAATGGCAACTTGGTTGGAGCATTACCTACAATGTGACCAATGTTTGGGATAATGGCAACACAAGTATCCCAAAAGTCATGTACAAGATTTCCTTCATCCCCAGTATTCTTTTTAGTCCCACTAGGCCTTTCTATTTCTATTTCTCTGAATGCTAGTGAATGCCTAGGCCTGAAGCCTGGGGGGGAATCTGGGGAGGTGGGGGAGGAGGGGTGAATTGCACAATGCCTTCTCTGAACCTCAGGAAATTCCCAGGACTTGGCCTTCTCAGCAACCTGGCCTTTAGCCAGGGCTCCCACAATTCTCATCCCCCAAAATCACTGTCCTTAAACTGGGGCTTGAGTTTCTGCCCCATGGTCCCACTGGAAGTAGGGGGCCAGGGAGCCCTCAGAAGCCTGTGTTTTTCTGGCTCCTTCCCCTGTCTCCCTGTCTCTGTGGCAGACAGCACTGGTCACTGCTCTAGCCTTGGTCAGGGAAAGAAGGGCAGGGGGAGGGGAGGGAAGGGTATGCTGGGGACAGAGCCACTGGAGGTCAATGAGCCTTCAACAATCAGGCTGTTAGTCCAGTCAGATTTCTCAGCCAGCCGGGGGCCTCCAGGGTCCGGGGTAGGAGAAAAGGGACAGATTGATCTATATGGCTGGGACTCCTGCTTGGGACAAAAGAACCTATCTGGAGTGGTAGGGAGTTGGGTGATGGGGCAGGGATACATTAGGGAGGGGCGGTTTCAGTGCCAGTTATTTGGTCTGGGGCTTTCCTTCTCTCTTGCACCTGCCAGCTGAGCCAACGTCTCCTGCCCTCCATCCTGACAGGTCCCGTCTCGCCGGGCCGGAGGCCCCTGCAAGATCCCCACTTCCCAGCTCCCTGGTCTCCAGCTTCTTATCTGGAGCATTTTCCCAGCTGCCTCTCATACTGGTTGCCTGGCTCCCTCGACCTCCTCGGCCGGTCCCAATTCTCTAGCCCTCCAACTCCTGTCCTTCCTCAGTCGCTGCAAACTCATAGGCTTCTCCATCCCATTTCCCGATCCCTCCGCTCTTACCCGGGACCCTCTAGCCCAAGCCCGGTCCTAATCCCCAAGCACCCCAGTCCCGCCTCCACGTCCCCTCTCCCAGCGCTCGCGCTTTCCCGAACCCGCATCGGCCCAAGCCCGGGCACTAACCCGATTCGGAAGAGCAGCCGCTGGCTGCGCGTCATGAGCAGGCCGCGGAGGCCCCGCCGCACCCGGCAGCTGCGGGGACTCAGGAGCAGAACTACGGCGAGGAGCAGCAGCCCGCAGCCGGCCACCCACAGCCCAGGCGCAGGCCAGCGGGCCCAGACCATGCTAGGGGGCGGCGCCGGCGGCCGCCGGGGGCGTGGCTGGGCGTTGCTAGGCGACGGCCGATCCCCGGCCCCACGCGGGGAAGCTGCGGGATGGGGGCCCGGCTCCGGGCGCGCGGGCTTCGGGGCGCTCAGGGCGTTGCGGCGCCGCCCCGCCCCTGGCTCGAAATCGGACCCGCCCCCTCGCCAGCCTTGGCCGGGCGCACGCGGAGAAGGCCACCCGGCTGGAGGCGACCGGCTCTACTCCTCGTTGGCCCGCCTGGAGGCCCGACCCAAACGAGGTTCGGACCTGGCTAATCTGGGTCTACAGTCGCCTGAATCCTCTGAAGGAAAAGAAGCCCGCAGCCCGTGCCTCCTCCTTCCCCCTCCAGGGGACCTTGGGAGAGGCTCTGGAGTGGTCTTTCTAGCAAGAAGCCCTAAAGAGACTTTTTGAGGTGGAAGGAACCTGGAAGTTTATCTGAGTCAGTTGTTGTTAACTCAGTTTATTCATTCACTAAATTACTTTTCTAGCTCCTCCTAAATGCCAGGCACTGCGCCAGCATCTGAGGATGAAGGGTCAAAGATACCCAGCCTGTGTTCCTGGAATCTAGGAT